GAAGGGAGGGAGGAGGGGGGAAGTTCAGAAGCTCAGGCTCTGCAGAGTACCTTAATTCCTGCTTTAATTATAAAGTGTCTGTTAATTCTTCCCAATCAACTTGCCTTTCTCCTTTAAACTCTCCTGACGACCATTATGCAATTGGCATTTTCGTTAATTTTCACTAGCCTCAAGGTGTAGGCTCTAGTCATGCCATCGTGTGCAACAATAAATAAATTTATTTTTCGTAATTAAGGCATAAAAACAATTCACAAGAATTAGATGAAACCATAAAATAAGGCATTTGTTCATCTTTTGAAGTTCCCTTAACTATCTTAGCCCAGGGTTATGGAGTTTTCGTGGTAATTGACCACGATGCCTAAATTACCCACTTCGTTTCAGGGAAATATAATAATGGATCGAATCTTTTGCTTCTAGAAGGTGTACAGCACGGAGGAGCTGACTGAAGAAATGGCCAATCTGGAGGGTTTGATGAAGAACCTCACAGCAATAACTCAAAAGGATTTTGACTGTGCCAGCGAGTTGTAGAAACACTTTTACCTCCCCACATAGGCTTTGTCTCCCTTCTCGTAAACGCCTCACTTAATTATTCAACTTTCAACGAAAAAACATGCTAGCCCTTGTCTCGCTCCTCCAGTCTCTTATTTGTATCTTTTCCTATAAAGGTTCTTTGAATGCATAAATACACACACACACACCACACACTCACACTCACTCACTCACTCACACACACCTACATACACACACACACACATATATATATATATATATATATATATATATATATATATTTGCTAGCAATGTTACTTATTAAGCTACTTAATGCGTGAACCTATCTTGTAAATATCATCTCATGTTTACTTAAATGGTGCTTGTTTATTTACTCTTCTCCATTGGCGGGTTGTTAGTTTAATGCAAGGCAGAATTTTTCATTGTTAGAATTAACACAAAATAGTGGCAGAGGTAGCTACAATTTCTACCTATTTGATAATTTATTACTTCACTTTAAAGTGGAGAGCTATCTCAAAATCACTCCGAATTTGGGTACCTTGAGTTACCTATGTTCTGGTCTGCACGTACGAGCATTGGTTAAGCACTTGGCTGTCATCATGACAGATGGATACAACGATATGAGTGTCAAAGCGTTCCTATATCCTTTGAATCATGAGCTCAATGGTTTGTTAATTTTCAATTAGAGGGAATATTTCACTGCATCGCAGCTTAATTCTCCGTAATTCAAAGTGCAGAGCTTGACCTCTTTAATTTTGCGCGGGTTCGTCAATGCCACGCCTAGATCTAGGTGATCGATCTCAGAATAGTGTGATTTTCTTTTTGCAATTCTCAATGCCTTTTAACTTTTAAGGAAGCAGTTTAGGTGAGTTTAATTAAACAGAGTCTCAATTAGTTTCTCACAAAGGACTATTTTAGAACTGGGAAAGATGATTGAAATGATTTGCTCACTAGAATCGGTTACAATTTGAATTTTCCATCATTCGTGATGCTATGTTTTAATGGGTGGCTACATAAGTTGCAAGGTCAACAAAAATGATCCCCACTGAGAGCAAGACAAAGTAAAGCTAGTTCTCTGAGCAAAAATATTATCCAAATCGACCTGCATCTCGAATCTGTAGAGAGAGAGACGGAGAGAGTGGTGAAGGACCTGGCGTCAGAGTTGGCTGGTAGTCATTGCAGAGGATAAAATCGAGTAGAAGTGTTTGAAAAATCGAAATTAGAAGGCAAAATAATCGGTAAATGCCTATAGATTGAGTTTCCAAAGATTGCTAGAATCGTTAAATGGTAACTAGGAATCCAACCGGCCCTTTTAGAGATCTTGTTATGGATTTCGAATCTTGTATGTTAATGAGTTCCCTATAAATTACACCAGATTAGACACAGAAACTAATTGCAAATCCTGGAAATGATCTACAATGCAGAACTTATGAAATATGATTTTGTCAATATTTTTTAATTAGTTCCATGAAATGTTTCAATGGCTCGATAATGGACTTCCAAAATGCACATTTGGAGTAGAATTCGAGTGAACTCCGATAACTACATTTGTCCATTTCCGGCTTAAGAGGCTACTAATTGGTGAAAGTGTCATGACTAACCATTCCATTAAAGCGACTGACTAATATGTCTTAAATATTGTGAATTTACACACTATCTCCACTTTCTACTGTCGCTTTTTCCAAACTGTCATATGAGTCACCATCGTATCATATCACGTGTCTCTCGAGGATGTTCGAGTCAGAGGTCATGAAATCAATGTCAACCTCTGCATATCCAGTGGTGTGAATTGCCAAACGCTCTGATTAACACGGGTCAACAGTGGAGGCAGTAGAGAGTGAGTTTCTCGTAGAAGTGGCCTTGGGAAGTTCAGTATTATTGGGGGAGGGGAATTTTCAACACAACTGATATTGTCACTGAAATATATCCAAGTGACCTTTGGGGCAATATTGTGGTCACACTTACTTAAAAATGTAGCAGAACAAAATCAGAGACAATATCCTCTTTGTTAGTGGCTATCTACCTTTTCATTACTGAGTCAATGACGCAATCAATCAGACTTACGCAGATTGTGAAGAGTGTAAGAGGAGAACGAGGCACTGATCATTTCCTCAGCTGGTTCCGAATCTCCCTCCCACCAAATGAGCCGAAGCATGACATTGGGCGCCTCCGGAAGATGATTTACACCTTCTCCACTCTCCACTATCACTTCGTCTTCACTGTCATCTGAGTCACCATCGTACCATCCCACCTGCCTCTGGGATGTGCGTTGCCGACGCCATTTTATGCGCCAAGAGAGACGAATCGCCTTCACAAGCCCCTGTCCACGAAAATCCTCGATCTATTCATCGGGAATCAAGAGAACCTACTTTAAAATCAAGTTCGATTCAACACTAGTGGCCACTCCCTCACCCCTAACTATGTTCTTTTAGCTGTAAGAGGCTGCAAATGAATGCAAGAGAGCTTGACTACTCATTCACTTAAATTAACTACCAAATAAGATCTGCATATTCGAAAATTTCATTGATCTAATCATGAAAACTGAGATTTGGAATATTTGTATATAAAAAACAGATTTATGTCCCTTACATAACTGTGGTCAAGTTGATGCTAACCGCAATCGAATAAATTCCATCTCCTCATAAACAATCTTGTTTAGGCACTAATATTGGCCATAAGTTTAATGACTTATCGAAGTATTTGGTGGTTTCACGAGTTTAGATACTAACTCTAGATTGGTTGCAATGAGTGCATAATAATGGCACACGAATTACCCGGGTTTTTCGACCAGTTAATTTTAATAAACTATTGATAGTCAGGCGTTGACTCAACCACTTTTCCTTTACTGCCGTGTTCGAATGGTTGAAACAACTGACGTTAGTCTTAACATTAGACCACCCCTTAGAGTACAATAAAAAAACGCACTATCCTCAAATTAATCCAACTGAAAATCATAGCGAGAAGGGATAATTCTAGGCAGACAACTGCACACATTCGATATTATGGTCAAACCCAGAATGAGGATAAGCATGACTGTTCTGGTTATTGGAAGGGGTGGGGTGGAGGTGGGGGAGGGTGGGGGGGGGGNGGGGGAGGGTGGGGGGGGGGTAGGAGATGGGAGGTCGACATGAAAGTGTTTATGAGACCAATGGCAAACTTTTTAATATTAAACAAGAAACTGCCTTAATTTATCCCAGTTGGTGGAATATCTCGTGACTGTATTTGTCCAATAACCGCTTTAGAGATACAACGTTTGTGCTGGGCGCAGTTAAACCCAGCAATGCAAGTTCACAGAGTCCATTTTATCATGCACTTCTTACTGGCTTGCAGTGTCCTCTCCACTTTCGCATTTCAAATTGCCTTTTGCAAGTTACTAGAAATTTTTTTTGTTGAAATTTCATTTGCCTTCCTATTGCATGCTATAAAGAGAGAGCATTTCTCCTTACATGTTTGCTTCACCTGCAGGCGTCTTTTAGCTAAATCGTTGTGAGAAGAAGTGAGCTTGGTTTTTTTTAATTTGATTCTTTTTTGCTTTATCAATAAATAAATATTAGGTAAGTTTCATTGCCCATTGGAGTCGCTTATCGTACTCCACTTTCCACCTCGAAAAATGAGGTGGATGTACCTTAGAAAGCTTGAATTGTAGGATAATTCTAAAAGTTGCTTAAGATACTGCAACCTCCCATGAATATACCACCTAGTCATGCTATGATAAGATTTTGCGTAATCATAATGTAGTTGAGTGTATTTTTTATAAGCATTTGGAGAAATAGGTATTTATGAAGGAAGTGTTGGAATAGACAATCAGTCAAATTAACATTATTTTTCGAGAAATATGTATTCATATGCTGCTCACTCGGTAATTAGACTTGAATAGGAAGAGGTCGAATTTCACCATCCCAGCCCAATTTGATCTACTAACAACAGTGGTGTCGATTTGAAATAGATTGATCGATAATAACCTTGTGAGAGTACTAGTGCAGTCTCAAGTAAAACAATGGATTCTTGTTTACTTTTGCTGACGGTATTCTCTCAATTCACTTAGGTTTAAACGTGTAATTAACTAAATTACCTGCATTGAATTGAAAACCTAAGTTTGTCTTGACATGGATTTGAGGGTTAGAGCTCTAAATTATTTTTTGTTGATATTACAGCCGAAGACTGTTTGGAATTAGACATGACTTGTGTCGACCATGCCTTCAACCCATGCTGTCCTGGAATGGTTTGTCGAAAAGTTCGAGAATTCGTTAGGTTTGGACGATGCTCGGTTTCCTGGGCGGAATTTATGAGGCTTAATTCAACTTCAACGGAACCAATAACAACCACAACGACGTCTGATCCACTTGCAAGCACTTAATCCCACTCGATATATATATATATATATATATATATATATATATATATGGGTATATTTTACATGATGCAATATAAATAGAAAAATTTGTAATTGTCACTTATTTTTTTATTGATTTAAATCCAAAACTATTCAAATACCTTAGAAGGAAAATTCTATACTAATCGACTTCGATTTAATAAAATTTACCTCAATGGTCGCCCGAGTTAGCAGATGTCTAACATCAATAGGAAGTTAGAAGTTATCGATTTTCGATATGACCCCGACAACAGTCTTCACAGGCGATTCAACTGCGTGTGGGCACGCGCGTTTAAACATTGATTTTTTAAACGGTTTGCTAATTCATCGATGACTAAGTATGCCAGTTCTCTAACTACGGAGTATTTTGTAGCTCTGATATATTTTTCAAAATATTGCGAGTGGCGTCCTATCCATATCTGAACTTATCTATCGACATTAGCATCTTGGCTTATTCCTTCCATTTGATCGAAGTGGTCTTGGCCCATATTGAATCACTATTTCACCTCTTTATTTAGAAGCTGTCAAATATTTAAGACAAAATCGTGGTTCAGAGGTAGGTTAGGCGATAAAAGTAAGGATAATTAAAAGGAAACTTTCTGCTTATTTTCGCAGTTGACGATTAACGATATGAAATCGGGTGGACTTCACTGAATACAGTTCTTTTTACTGGTGGTTTGAGAAGCTCCAGTATTCGTACACGCTTTTCTTAAAATAATACAACAATTCATTTAGTAAAGGGGTTAAATTTTTAATAAAATTTTGCAGATAAATTTAGCATTAACTTTGATTTGGAATTCTTCAATGAGTGCTAACATTACAATTTTTTTATTTTGATCTCTCTAAGCTATTGAATGAATGATCTTTGCAGTTGAAGCAGTTCTCTTTTCAATTGGGGTAATATGAGTGTGTTTTCTAACCCATTTCAGATTTTTTTTATGCAAAGAAGGCTCAGTAAAGATGATGCAATTTTGATTATCACTTTGCTGGTAACAAGAACATATAGAGGAAAACTGAGTTGATTAGAATAAACAAACTTTCTGGTTATTCTAATCGGATATTGCAGGCACAGTTTACCAGATGCACCTAAATGGCTCACCAAATAGGAAGACAAATGAACTTGAACCGGATCAACTCATAAAGTCTGCTTGGTCCTCGCTCTCTCTCTCTCACTCTCTCCTCTTCACCCCCTAAGACACTTGAAGGCACTATGCCCACATCTGTTCATTGGTTAGTATTAAGGTAATCAATATAGTTGTAGCCGCGAATTCTAGCGAGTGGTTCAACTACTCTCTTCATTTATACCTTCTAATACGCTTTAACTGTGAACTTAATTGGATAGCGAAACTAGTGAAATTAATACTACATCTTCTGAACGGAACGCCCCATAGTTTATTTATTAGGTTGGCAACTAAGTCATTGCCGATTTCAAATAAGAAGGCCAGTTCGGAATTTTTGTTTAAAAATATAACTTTATTCAATTAGATATTGGCCGTTCTTGTCGATCACCTTTTTCCATCGTTCTGGCAGAGTAAAAATTCCCCGTTCGTAAAATGTCTGGTCTTTGCTATTAAAAAACTGAATTAGGTGTGATCCGACATCCATTTAAAAAGTTTTGCATGGAACGAAACAAATGGTAATCCGAAGGCGCAAGGTCAGGGCTATATATGGGGTGGGTGTGACAAAACATCCCAACCCAGTTCCAATAATTTTTGCCGAGTAACCAAAGATGTGTGGGGCCTTGCGTTATCATGATGGAAAACAGCACCCTTCCGATTTGATAATGCCGGCCTCTTATCTTCAATTGCATCCTTCAGTTTTTCTTGTTTTTCAACATACACATTTGAATTTATCGTTTGGTTCTGCGGCATGAGTTCAAAATACAAAATTCCTTTGTGATCCCACCAGACTGACAGCATACTCTTTTTTTGGTGAATCTCTGCTTCTGATACTGTTTGGGCTGGTTGATCTTGCTTCACCCATGATCTCTTGCGAGTAACATTGTTATAAACTATCCAATTTTCGTCGCCAGTAACTAGGTTCTTCAGAAATGGATCATTCTCATTCTCATTGCGTTTCAGTAGCGGCGAATCACAGATGCTAATCCGTTGCGTCAAATGCATTTCCTTTAACTGGTGAGGGATCCATAAATCAAGTTTCTTCACATAACCAAGGGTTTTTAATTTGTTTTCAATGCATGTATGCAACACATTGAGCTTCTCTGCAATATCTCGTGTTGTGCTGTGACGATTTGAATCGATAATGGCCTTGATATGGGTTTCATCCACTTCGACTGGGCGGCCAGATCGTTGTGAATTTTTCAGTGAAAAATCACCAGAACGAAATCTTTCAAACCAATTTCGACACTGCCTTTCTTTTAAGGCTTCATCTCCATATACGGCACATAACTTCTTTTGTGCTTGCAATGCGTTCTTGCCTTTTCGGAAGTAATACAATAAAATGTGTCGGAAGTGCACGTCCTGTTCTTTCATTTTTAAATTGGGATAAAAACAAAACTAAAGAACTAAACAAAAAAATTGTTTACTAATTAACCTAGAAGCCCATACAGTAAGAAAAAAGTATAGGTTAGATATTCTGGCCACGTTAACAAAACAAAAGAAAGTATAGAGTGAATCCGCCAACAAAAACAGCAATGACTTAGTTGCCAACCCAATAATTCAAATGGCAGGCGTTTTGATGGTCATCATTGGCTCTCTAGCTGACTTAAGGATTCACAGAGGGGAGGAACATCAAAGTGCGAAAATTACGAGACCGTGAACAGAAGAGTGAATCACAGACGTAAAAGAGACAGACAGATACAAGGGCAGAGAAAATCTAAGGTGAGTCCTGTGAAAGTAATTGAATATGACATACAGTGGGACCATTGTAGTTTGAGGCCAGAGGTCAACTGCCGGTATAGACTTTTGCAATATGAGTATACTTTTCCCAGGGTGTACCAGGTGGAGGTCAGTTTATCGTACACCCCGAACACCCCATAGTCATTTAACCATTTCAATGTTTAGAGATAACTCATTGCAGTTCTAAGAATCCACTTGAGGGTTGATAGGATCAAGAACTGGTTATAAGGCGTATTAAAGATCATCCAAGACTGAAGGTGAAAGACAAACGGGAAGTTTAAAGCTGAACGAGACACTGAGTTTTCTCAGAAAATTATCAGGGCCATAATAGTTTGTGCATTGATTATTTTTCTTATGGCCAACAGATTGAAACAAATAGTCAGCTGCTATGTGGTAAGATGTGCTCTCGATAGCCCTCTAAAGACCCATTCGGGTGTGTGATTATTGATTCACTCGAGTAACTCTAATCTCACTGCTTAAAAGCTGTCCAAGAGTTCGTTAAAAGCGTTGGGAAATAATTTACTTCAATAGGGTTTCAAATAGAAAGGTTTTGAAGTGTCTTATTGGAAAAATAAAAAAGCTTTAGATGATACCTTCAAGGTCTTTTCAACTTGATCAAATCGGAGCACTTTGTACTGCAGACCTGAACCTACTGTAATCCTGCCCTCTTCAGATATCTACATCCAAGCCACTTCTTAAAAGCTAAGCTCCTAACAAGGGCTTAATGGCAAAGGAATGCCACCTACCACGGGAATTCCACTGAA